TACAAATTTGCACGAAAATATATTGCTTCTAACAGCCAACGTTTGGTGCTAGTGGCGTCCGGCCTCCATGGATGACCAGCGGTCTGACTGGTCACAAAGACAAACACACTAGATTGACAGGAATTCAAAAGACTTTGACCGACCGAAGAAGAACGATTAGACTTTCTTTTGGACAAAAGACGACGACGGTCCTGACTAAATCTCTGACGAGAGCAGATGACTCCACCTGAAATACAATTTGTACAGATAGCCTGTACAGTGCTCATTCTGTAATTCGTGAGGTTCTCCGACACTCAATGGCTCAGACATTTAAATCGCGAAACTCGGTTTAACTCAACACTGTTCAAATTGACGGGTGGTATTACGTTGATTTTGTTACTAAGACGTCGTCCTCGTAGCTAAAATTATTCATGAACTTTCAGTCTATAGAGTGTTGTTGTTGATTTGAAGGTCCGTAGCTATACTTATTTATTTATATTTTTACTTGAGACTATTTATTTATATCATAAAAAAAAGGTAAAATAAAAATGATGGTTGGGATAATTTTGATAATTACAAAAGCCGCCGAGAGACAAAACTTTTCATTTTCGTTGAGCTTCGTGGCTACCAAATGCTATAAAAAAGACTAAGAGTTTAATCCGAAAAAAGCTGTTCTTTTCCGTAGGAAAAATGAGTAGACAAGTTGATAAGGTGTATCGTCTTTAAACCAACAGATGTATTAAAAATAGGAACACTGAACAAAATAACAAAAGGAGGAACACTGGCTCTCATCAGAGAACAAAAAAGTAACGAGAACTGACGCTCACCGCTCCTCCCTAGCTTTAGATACCACACCACGCCCCGCACATTGACGGTTTGATATTTGAATTTAGTTTTCATTTATTCATTACAAAATAACATCGTTTTACGTTACTACGTGGGGCGCACTATAAGTTTCCTTAATTAATAAGAAAAAAATACTATAAATGGACAGAAATGAATTTATTGTTTCTCAAAATATTCTCCGTTAGTATTAATGCACTTTTTCATACGAATGAACCAATTTATAAAACATTTATGCCACACCTCCGTGACAATCTCTGAAACATATTTTTCATACTCTTCGACAGCCTCTTTCGATAATGAAAATCGTTGACCACGTAACTGGTTCTTAATTTTTGGAAATAAATGAAAGTCACAAGGTGCCAGGTCGGGACTGTACGCGGAATGGCTCGTAAGGTCAACGTTGTTCACTTTCAAAAATTCATTTACCTGTCTGGCCGTGTGAAAACTGGCGTTATCGTGGTGAAAGATGATACGGCGTTTACGGTTATTTTTACGGAGTTTGTCAATAACTTTCGGCAAACAACGCTGATTGTAGTCGTGCTGAAGCACAAAAACAGTCTGCGTATCAAGCTTGAGCAGATACTCGACTACGCAAAGCTCTGAATATTCGGAATCTGAAGAAAGCCTTTAATAAGTTCGACCATGTGCGCCGCATAGGGGCCAAGCTTGCCTCTTTTCCAGCAGGCAGCAAGTCCTTTTGGTCCCTGGCCAAAACGGTCGAAAAAAAGTTTAGTAGCCACTCATTACTTACAGCAGAGATGTCTGCTGAGGCCAGACGGCTCGCTGGCCCATACTGCGGAAGAGAAGGCGAATCTCTTCGCCTCACTCTTTGCAGAGAGTTCGCGTCTGGATGCCGCAGGATACCTACCACCTTCTTTACCTCAGTCTGGATGCACTTTGGCCCTTAGTCCGCATACGCCAAAAAGAGGTACTCAGAACTCTGCGAAGTCTAGACATGCATAAAGCTAGCGGGCCAGATGGAATTCCAGCAATAGTCCTGCGTAACTGTGCGCCTGAGTTGTCTCCTGTTCTCACACGCCTGTAGCGCCTCTCGCTTGAACTGGTGTAGTTCGCGGAACGTGGAAGCTATTTGCTATTTATATTTTATTTACTATTTATATTTTATCCGGGAACTACAACCGGTACCTAAAAAAGGAAGCAGAGCTGACCCCGTCAACTATAGACCTATCTCAGTCACTTCCATATTCTGCAAGACTATGGAACGTGTACTTAACAACCGTCTTCTGTCGTACCTTGAAGACAACGATCTCCTCATAATTATAAGCAGTTTGAAGCCGAGCGAAGCTCCGCTGAGCTGTTAAGTAAGAGCTGTCGTAGAAAATAATACTACGAAAATTTTCACGAGTTTAATCCATGCTGATGTTGACAACCAATTTTTAAAGTGACGCCACAATGTACAAACAAGTAACAGTGAGATGAAAGAAACTGTATTCTATAGTCAAAGAGTTTCATTTTCAAATGTTGCAATTTTTTTTAAATACTGTTTATGTAAGTGGCCTGTTCCGGAAACTTATAGAGCGCCCTATCTATTTGTAATTTTGTTGTGTACGGCTGTTTATAAATAATCATCTAAACGGGATAAAGAGAGGACTTTCTTTCGTTTTCTGAAAGATGAAACGAAGCAAGTAAAAAAACTTATGTTTGAGATTCATTCTGCCTCCGTGGCCCAACGGTTACCATGCCGGACTGCCACGCAAGAGGTCCCAGGTTCGATTCCCGGGCCAGGAGAAATATTTTTATGGCCCACATTTATATCTCTCGTGAGTTTGGGTGTAATTTGTGGTTGTCTATGTTTGTGTCCATGCCACCCGCGACACAGGGTTTCCCTAGTGCGGGGCTATGTTGAGTGTGTGCGTTATTATTATTATAGTTCTGCGAGTTGTTAGATTTTACACGTAACTTACACATTTATTATATCAGTACAATAAGACGCCATAACTTCGTTAGTATGAGACAAGGGTTATCAAATATGCCTAATTATTAACTAGGTAATGATAAACTTGGACACGCAATTCCAAATACTTTGGTTACCTTATTTAAAGGCACCTGTCCAAAATATAAAATTTTAAGTGCTTTTCAATTATTTTTTAAATAAATCTTCAATATTATTCTAGTTTGTGAATTAATGAAAAATATAATGAACATGTGTAATTATTACGATTCTATTAATAGAAATATAGATAACACATTCGCGTTAGAATTTTCGGTATGTTGCCGCTCTGACCACGTAACGTAAAAGTACGAGAAAGTGGTGGTTAACCCTGCCACTTCATGCACACATTTGCGCGTGTGCAGATAGCGCCTTGTTGTATGTGTAGTAGTAGGTAAATAATTTTAGACTGTTGTATGGAGTGTCCGGGGTGTGCTCTCATGTCACAGGTTGCCGTATTTTGACAGTCAGGGATCTCATCTTGTATTGTAATAACCTTACTTTACATTTGTATTTTAAGCAAAAATTTTTTTCAAAATAAATATTATTATTAAAGTATATGCCCGCCCAAATTTCAACCATTCAGAATTGTAATGTAGCGAGAGGATGTATTAAATAACATGGCCTAAAAATAAACTATAAACAAATATTTCCCTGATAGTATATTCACACATGTAGTTGTTTAAAGTAAGTTGGTCAAGAAATAAATTAATATAATAATAATATAAAATGAAGATTCGTATGAATGTAGACTAATCGACGACGAATCGATCGGAAGCTAATGTACCACGTCGTTTACGATATCGTGAGTCAGGATCAATAAAATTAAAAAAATCAGAATGTCAAAAATCACGAAGTCGTCTTGTTTTAAGATAATTTACAGCAAGTCTTTAATGACTTGGACATTTCTTTGTAAGTTTGACTTATCAAAGATCACGTAACAGAACTTTAAATGTTAAAACAAATATTTCCACTATACAGGACATGCACATTTCAGCTCTACGCTACCCTCTACACTCACGTTCCCGTACCTTCTACCATTTTTTTTCGTAATTTAGATAATTACCTTTTAGGAAAACAATTTAGTTCGCTTGAAGCAGTCAACAATGAGATTGTGGATTACTTTGTCCTCGCTATTGTACCGTAAAGGATCAAATGAGATTCCAGCAATATGGCAGAAGTGTATTTTATTGATGTTGGGTGCATACTTTGATAAAATGAACGTTATTTTCTAAAATAAACAGTCATAAAACAGGTAATAAAAGTTCTTTGTCCGAATTTGAACGAAGGATTTGTGAGAGCAACACAAATTCAGTTCTTTATCCAACCATAAATACCTAAATGCATGTACTGTGTTTTCATCAACTTTTTACCCACGACTTTTTTTTACTTTCATTTCCAGCAACAACAAATTAATTATAGCGAAAAGAAAAATTATTACATAAGCCCCGCAGTACTTCCACCTACGCCTGTTTCCACGAGTTGTAAATTCTAGAATTTTCCGGAATTTGCGTAGGAGTCAGGACAAGGTTCTTTATTATAGAGAGACTAGCAATCGCCCCTTACTGCGTTTGTGTCGAATATTCTATTAAATCCATTATTTTGTATTGGAACAATGATGGGCTTGACATGAAAGAAATTTTATATAGTGTTGTAATTTTTACATTTAGATTCTGACTTGAAAATCTACTTTAAACAAACAAATTTGCAACATAAAATATGCACTTTATGTTATAAGAAGAAATTTAGTAAAATTCTTCTTTTGTTGTTACCGAGTGATAGATATATGTAGATAAGGCGGCAGTACTTCCCTAGACGAACTCTTTCACAAGAGGAGCCTTACTGCTACTAAAATGACGAAGAGCCTGTGATTGCCATGTGCCTGTAATTTCACCAGTACCCCTATCCTTGAAAACCGGAACGCAGTAATGCTGATATTACTACTTGGCGGCAGAAATAGGTAAGTGACAGTACTTCTCTGGACCAACTCTTTAGGACCTGGACCTTTACAGCTGCTAAAATTTTATCCACGTAACTAGTTAGTTCCATTATACTTTTTAAACGGTATTTTTGTGTGGGTGTTAGCTTACTATGATGTGTTCTTATCATTCTTCGTTGTACTTTTGAGTATAACTAATTAAAATATTTGAAGTTGTAGGGTTTTGCAAAAATTTAAACAATTGGAAAAAAAAGTCAACTATTTTTTTCATGTTCCTTTATTTTTGTCATCATCTTTTATAAGTAAGTTACGTACAATTTCATTTATAATACTTCTCTAAGTTCGGATTTGTAGGTATCCAAAGGTACATTGTCAGTTATCCAACTAAAATAAAACATCTAGATATTAAAATACAGTTTTTCTATAATATATAAAATATACGATTTGATAGCCACTTACATTTAATTAGTATTATAATGGCTTCTAATTTATTGACTGGGACAGATATATATAGGTAAAATTAGACACTATCTATTTAAAAATTAAAACAAAAATTAATTACAGACAATAAACTGAAAATAATGAAAGTGGGTACAATACTAATTTACTTTATTACAAATTTTATATTGAGAAGAACTTTAACCTCCACTAGTAATACTTTATAGGGCTAATTTTTATATTACAAACTATAGAATTTGGATAAATATCTATAAACACAGAAGGGTTGTTAAGTAATTTGACATTATTATAAACAGATATGTACTTTTCGAAAGATACGTTTTCTAAGGGTTTAATATTAAAAACAGTACCGAAACTAGAAAGAGGAAAGTCACAACTGGTTATAGTAGCAAAAGTTGAAATGAAGTACAAAAAGTCAATTCGAAAAGCGTAAGAAAGTGTGTTTTAATGCCAATGGGATGGGCATGAGGACGCAATTATTAATTTAAAAAAAATTATAAGTCTTTTAGACCAATTGCGGTATAAAATGTATCAGACGAGAAGCTGTAAAGCTAAAATATCACTTAATCCTCTTCTTTCCGAGAGAATTGTTTAGTTTCTTAAATACAAATAGGTATCTACACAATGTGCTATAGGCTTTTGCTATGCAAAAAATTTCATGGTATTGTCTATTTAGACCGTCGTAAGTTAAACAAATGCTTAGCACCTGAGAAAATTTACACTAGAGCGTATTGTAGAAGACAATAAATAAAAGTCTTGATAAAAACGCGTTTGGAATGAATATTTGATCAATGAACTGTAGAAAAAGTTACGAAAGCTTCATTTTGATTCTCCGATATTTCTTTTCCTTTCCTATCCATGAAGAAATTAAACAAATCGTAATAAATTTTGAACTAAAATACTTTATATCTACGTAAATTACAAATACGATATAATGAAATTGAAGTAATTTGCATTTTCTGTCAAAATCCTTTTATAACGTTGATGTACTTATAAGTTGATGTATTTTTAATTTCTATCTAAATTAAGTCTTAAACAATCATACCTACAAATATTTACAAATGCACGTGATGTGCGATATTTAGCTGCCAAATGAAGGAGCAACGTCTTTAATTAAACTATCATGCATACCAAACAACAAGTCCTCCGTTTGGATATTATAGTCACATTTTGTACGATCATTTACACTCGTAGCGCGTAGCTCATAGCTCGTAGGACGTTATGTCTACGACAATTTATCAATCACTATAGAAATTAATTAATTATAGTAAAGATTCAAAAAGATCTGATATACACGTTTAACTTCGCAAAAGAAGTTTGGTTACCATCAAGATACTTTCACAAATGGCATGATGGATGACGAAGTGGGCGATAAAACAGTTAATATACTAAATGGAAATATTTTTATGCGATGGATACGAATAATATTGTAATAGTAAAGCCTTGTAAGACTTATTATTTTCATTGCCTGCTCGGCTAGTCCACAGTGTCGCTGTTGCCAAAGTTATCTATATAGTCTATATACTTAGTACTCAGTCTCATGTTTGTTGGCGAAATTCGGATCTTCTCTTTAAGTGCGGATGCGATGTTTCAGGCCTCGCAGTTCCATTACAAGATCGGTGTCTCCCGCCACAAAACGTTTGTCGATTCTCCGAGCTTTCGTTGTATCCTATGACCAAAATAAACCCATGTTATTTTGAGTATTATGGAAAGAAGTTGGAAAGTTCGTAGTAAGCTAAAAGTAAAACATTTCAGCCAATATTAGATTCTCTTGTCCCCCCCCTTCGATTGACCCGGCTCCGAGCTCTCCGTGTCACCCACCACCCCCGACCCGGACGAGCTATTTTTAGACATCGGCTTTCCACGGTCTGATGCGAGCGTCATAACTATTGTCAATTTTGAATGCTAATTATAATTATTGTGATAAATTTTTTTTTTTTAATATTAGAGTATATATATAATGTTTACCTGTACGTGTGCATTCTTCGCGTTGTTTGTCAGTAGTTGCGCAATAGTATCGTAGAATTTAGCTTCGCTTCTTTTGTTCTGCTGCTCTTGGCGATTCCTTGGGGTGGAAACTGGCGCCGACCCAGGCATGATTACTTCCTTCTGGCCTGCTTTGGGTTTCAAAGTACTAATAACTGGCGCGACTGTAGTTACACTTCTTTTGTTTCCGTTCCAGTTGATAAAGCCATCATCATTTACATAGTCGTCGTCTTCGATTCGGGGTACAGTTTTAGGTATATGGTAAAGAGGTTTTCCAGCAAGAGCTTTCAGTTCTCTAACATCCTCGTCTTCGGTATCTCTTTCTTCATAGTCAACAATCGGAAAGGCAGCGCGGGCATTTTCGCGGCGTCTCTGTGCATCTTGGGCCATTTGCGTAAGGATCAAATTGTCCAGAAAAGCTGCACTGACGTCATCGACGTCGTTCTCTCGCCAATGCGGTGTGGAGTCGCTCTCGAACCATGTCTCTTGTCCGATTGGAAGAGCTGCTAGTCTCTCTTCTTGCCTCTTAGGAGCTTCATTTGCGAAATGGCCATAAGGATCGTAGAAGTAAGAGTACGGAATTTGGCCATATGTTTCAGGTACACTCATGGCTGGTGCGTCGTAGTAATATTGCACTTTAGGGGCATAGTAGTAATCAGGGTCATCCGGGTATTCTCTAGGCGCTTGTGCGTACACCGGCCATCCTTGCATGGGATAAGCCTTAGTTTGGGCTACTAGGTAACCTAGCAAGACTGCTATCATCCTATAACAATTAATTTCACTTATAAATACAAATGCATTAATTACTTAATAAGTAATTGGTTTAAAAAAAAACCATGATAAATTTAGATTGTACAATTACTTAATTTGTTAAAAATAAATAAATTAGTAAAATGATTTAAAAAGGGGATGATTATTGATTAACAAATTTACCTTGAGCCAGAGAGATGCATGTTGCACATTTTCACTATTTCGGTGTTGGTTTCAGCGCGGTCGCAGTAAAACTGACGTGGGAGGGAGGGCCGGGAGGCTTTATAACCGAGTCGCCCACGCTTGCCGCCCACACGTTCTGAATGAACGGCCCCCTCTACGCACCCCCACCACCCATTAACTCTCCTCGTTGCTGAAACTCCCTAACCTCAACCCCTCGGGTAGCCGCTATCGATCGCGTCCGCAGATTATTCATCTCCAAGTGGTGACAGTCGTGGCACTGTTCCGTCTTCACATGTATTCTGATAAGAACCCAAGACAATGCCATCATGTGTTAATTAAAAAGTTTTAAAAATCAGCGGGACATACTTCAAGGAAAAGACCAGGGGCTTTACATACTTATTGTATCCCGATCAGTATAATTAGTATATAAATTCTGATTATGCTGGTTAGGTGGTAAGTATCTGTAATTATTATGTACCTACCTACTTTTTTACCCGACTGAAAATTGACGACTAAGTTTTGTAAATAAATAATTAAGGATTAAGTACGTTCCTGTTACCTATCTACATCACCGTCTTAATTATAACATAGTACTTATTTGGCGGTAGGTTTTCAGTAATGAGGTATATTATTTTGAGAGTTATGAGGTATATAGTTTTAGATCTCATTCCGTTGATTCTGAATATACTAATAACTTAAGATACTTAAAAATATAACACTGAAGTCCCTTGTCTATGAAATGGGAGCGGAGAAGACTTAGGGTCGTATTCTAGAACTCTACTCAATGCTCAAGTCAGGATTGCACTAGAAACATAAGCACTGGAAATACGACCGTAATGGCAGGGACTTGAGTATGATTTCGAGTGCTTTAAACCATACTCAAATCCTGACTTGAGCATTGAGTAGAGTTCTAGAATACGACCCTTAGAGCATGTTCACATGACGAGCGTTCAACGCGCGTTACGCTGACGCGCGCTTACAACTTATCGAATTTTGTACGTAAATCGCTGTAGGTTCACATTTGAGCAGTCGCGCTAACGCCGGGCACTTGTCAACGTTGAAGCGCGCTTTGAGATCATAGGTTTGTCGTACTGCCGTTCACATGAGCGCGTTATAGACGCGGTGAGACGTGTTTTGCAATTGAAATTGATTTTTTATTCTAGAAATGGGTACATAAGACTTTAATAAGGATTTATTCATAGACGAAGATGAGAAACGTCCTGCAATATGGAATATGATAACTTATGAAGTGACTTTCACTGAGCCTGGGTAATAAAAAAGGATGGACCCAATATTTCCGTCTCCTGTTGCGTTTGCTGTCTCCGTCTTCGATATAAAATCCACAAACACATAGCTGTTTCCACGTCCATCTTCGACTTGCTGAACTTGCACTGAAACAGTGGCAACACGCGCTCAACGCCCGAACTATTCATAAACCTAACGCGAGTTGAACGCGCAATGAACGCTCGTCATGTGAACATGCTCTGAGACTTATGTTTTAACAGTCGTTATTTCATATCTTCGCGGCACAAAGACCAATTTATTGAATCCTATTGGTTACTTAAGCGCGACTTTTTCTGTTCAGCTCTAGTAATTATAACTTTTTTTATAAAAAAAAAGCGACCGCAAAAGTTCACGGAATTACGTCTATTTGCCAAGTTTTATTGAAATTGGTTAAGGGAAAATGGGTGAAATCCAATAAACTGGATTCAAACCTTAATTTGTCACCCTTGAATGAGACCACTACTGAGGTACCCCCTTTGCAAGAGAAAAGAATCACTGAAATCGGTTCACAAAATCGTGTAACATATACAAATAAATAAATACAGTCGAATGAGAACCTCCTTATTTTTTGAAGTAGGCTAAAAAAGATCTTTATGACCGTAGATCATATCATCAGTATTATCTCAGTCGAATCAAATAAAAAGCTGATGTCAAAATCTCCGTTTATAAGCTGACTTGGAAGGGATTTTGGCGCTACCGAATGGCTTCGTTCCCCTATAATATAAATATATCTAAATTCAGTAGTTAAGAAATATGAAGAACTTATAACATGAGTTACAGACAGGTGTTTTGCTGTTTGTACGACCGAAGGATTAAACATACCCATACATGTAAACACATTTATATAGGCAATAAACTAGTATGTCTATTGTTAGGCCTTTCCTGTATAGTGAGTGGCCTTTGTGAAATAGTAGCACTTTCCGTAATGGCAGGTTTACAATACTTCAGTAGTAAGTGCTAAGTTGAGGCGCAGTCTTTTGGGTTGTTTGATAATCGGAGCACCATCTTTGAGCTAATCAAAATGTCCTAGCAATATTGTTCTGCAGTATTCTTTTTATTCTTTACTCAAATTGGCCACAGTCACCACGTTTGATAAGTGGGTAGACGCTTGCTGTAAACCTTACCTATTGGGTTTACATATAGCCGTTGTGTGTGGAGATAAGCGAATAAGGAACTACTAGCGATAGCTATTAGGTGTGATGTTATGATGTTCATTATAAAACAATTGTTGAACATTCTAATGCGGGTCTTGTTGCGTAGCACGGTGCGCAACATAATCAAATAAATAAAGTCATCTTATACTTTTAAAAGAAAGTGCAAGCTTTGGTTACTTTCGAGGCAAAGATCAGAAAGTAATTGGATGTAGTTTGTAATTATATTTTTACGTGTGGGTGCTGTTCATCGCTACCTAAACCCCAAATTTGAGTATTTTTTAGGTGGAATATTTTATCTATCTCAGGTACTATAACGACAATAGATTTATTATAACTTTAAGTGAGTATATATATATATATATATATAAATATATATATATATATATTATATTATATTATATATATTATATTATTTTATATATATATTTAATTTTATATATATAATTTATATATTTTGCGATATCTTTTGGAGCTACTCGAGATGCGTCAGACAAATACTATGATTAAAATGTAGCGAGTTTCAAAAAGGTAGGGTCTGAAAAACAGCTTAAGCTGAGACTCTATCCTTTTTATCTATAAATGATGTTATTTACGACTAAATTGTTTTGTAAATGTAGATAAATAAAGTTCTTCATTATTATTATTATCATTATTATTATTATTAAATACGGAGTACCATTTAAATTATTGTGCAATATCACATTATATTATTTACTAATTTAATTTGTGTTTAACTTGAGGAGAACTTTTCCAAAGATGTACCAGTAGAGCTCCTTGTGAAAGAGTTCGTCCAGGGTAGTACTGCCACCTTACCTATTTCTGCCGCTAAGCAGTAATGTCAGCATTATTGTGTTCCGGTTTTGCAGGGTGCCGGTGAAATTACAGGCACATGGGATTTGTCAACTTATGTCTCAAGGTGACGGATGCAGTGTCAGTGGCCCTTAGATCTTTGCGATTTTAAGCTTTGAGCGGTACTGCAACTGTTACGGAGAGGCGTGTAGCTTATCATCAGGTGCACGACTTGTTCATCCCGTCACTGGGTGCAATAAAAAAAGAAGTAGAATCTCATTAGATTTCTATTGAGCCATGGAAACAAGCGAATGTTCTAAAAACCATTCTTCATACTTATACTGTACACGCGTGCATCGAGCGTAAAGAGATATTAGTCGTTTATAAATCGCATTTAACATTCTATGGGATCACTATAAACTGCACAGACATTTTGGCGCTGTATCAAAGCTCGTAGAAGCGTATGCAGTAAGTTAAATGTATAATAAGGTCGTAGGTGCTGTTTCCCAGTCGCTGTCCTAAAGGTCAAAAGTTCACACGTTCCTCGCTTAGATAGAGACGACTTATACATAAATCAACAAGGAAATTCGGAGTATTGAAACGTAAATATAATCATCGTGCCTTGTAGCATAGAATGTTGTATGTTGTATCCAAATTGGGCCCCTGTCGTCCTTTGGCAGCGTATATATGATAAATATACAAAGTGTTACTCTTTTATATAGGCAAAGGATTGTCGGCTACCAGTCTCTAATACGAAGGCGTACTATAAGTCGCGGTTCATATAAGAATATGTATCTAAAAAAATAAACAAATCGTAAGGGAACGTGATCGTTTACATACATATCTAATGTCGAGATTTTCTCTCGTTACAAAAAATATACAGTACCCATAGCACCCATGTATTATTATACTTAAATGTACAGTACATTACGTTTATGTATTTGGATGCGAGCTTCGTAACGAGCGCCCACGTGAAGTACTAAAGGATCGCAGTAAAATACTAAATATTCTCTTAATGAGTACACGCGGAGGCGGAATCTACACAACTTTTTAATATCTTTTTAATGTTACAGCAAAACTGTTAGCTTTGTTACCATGACACGTGGATATTTTAGGGTACAAAAGTTAAATAATTTTATTAATTTAATAAATCCAATTCCAGTCATACCAAGGGCTTAAATGTCTACATTATTATAATTAATTATAAATAATTAATTCATTTTCTTTGGCAGAAAATGTAATTTGATTCAAAGGACCTAAGGATTTAAGTAGCCGACCTTCCTTTAAATACTTTAGAATTTTTGTCTCACGATACAGACTGTTTTTTTAATAATACCAAGTTACAGAACGAAAAACTTGTGCGCCTGGTGGTAAGCGACACGCCTATTCACAACAGCTGCAGTGCCACTCAGGGCTTTGAATCGCAATGATATTAGGGGTACTGCCACTGCGCTCGTCACGTTGAGACATAAGTTCCATGTGCCTGTAATTTTGCGAACGTAAAGTATTAGGAATACGGAGGCCGAAAATAATGATTTGTTTTCTATCGGAGTTCTTTGACGCGGGACCATAATTTAACCAGAACAAGCTAAAAAAGTTCGTTTGTTAAACGGTTTTGAAATGGAATCGAGATCTCAAATAGAACACCCGCTGTGACATTCATATAGAGATATTAAACGAGATACGTTAGTATCGAGTTCTTAGGTTTTCGCGATTGTTACTCATAGGAAATGAAACTATTTTTCCGGATTTAAATCGTATATTGGACAAACAAAGCGAAGTATTTGTGCCCGCGTCAAAGAACATATAGCTGATGTCACACACCGTCGCG